TTAAACTTAAATAATTATGTATACATTAGGAAGGGATGTATAACAGAGAAAATAAAGCAGCGAAAGAAGATAGAAAACGGTAGGGGGAAATTGTGATTTCAAATATGGTAATCAGGAATATGATTTTATTTTTAAGAGACAAAACAACTAAAGCCATATTTTTAAATATTTTGAACATGAATAGCTTTATTTAATATCAAAACATATTTTTAATCTTCATTTGCTATAATTTGGAGAACACCTAATTTTGAAAAAAATTTATGACCAAAAGATACTATTAAATTTGCAACACTCTTAAAAGTTATTTCTAATTTGAAAAGCTAATATTTATTGAGTGATGATTCTATGCCAAGGATTGTTCTAAGCATTTTACATGAACCTTCCTAATGAATCCTAACAAAAGCCTTATGAGGACGGTGAAAGTATCACTTTTATAGGTAATGAAACCGAGACACAAAGTTAGGTGAATGGCATTTTACTTTTTAAAATAAAAGTTACTATATTAAATATAACATCATCGTCCATATATACACACATATATTAATCATGTTGTATGTTTTGTTAGTGATAGTGAGATCAAACTGGCAATATTAGGGGACAGAGATGGTTTTGCAAATAATTTACAGATCCTCAAGGCTCCACAGCATACAGGTGGGAACCACTGGTCAAGAATTTTGCTGGCCATCCTCTTATAGCCTGGGAGTGGAGCTCCAGGCATCTTAATGCTTCATTAATGCAGTAAATAGTGTTGTTAGAAATTCAGTGAAGGGGACTGGGCACCAGCTCTAATCCTAGCACTCTGGGAGGCCGAGGTGGGAGGATCACTTGAGGCCAGAAGTTCAAGACCAGCCTCAGCAAGAGTGAGACCCTGTCTCTACAAAAAATATAAAAATTAACTTGGCACAATGGCTCACACCTATAGTCCCAGCTATTTGGGAGGCTGAGGCAGGAGGATCAATCGCTCCAGTCCAGTCCTGCTTGAAGTAGCAGTGAGCTGTGATCATGCCACTGCACACTAGTGGAGAGGACAAAGAGAGACTGTGTCTCAAAAAAAAAAAGGGGGGGGGAAGAAATTCAGTGAAAGGATGTACCTCATTCAAGGGAGTCTTGAGCTCTCACTTGTCATGCAGCCCCAATTCTATTGTACCTCCTTGAACTTCATTTTCATCTCCATAAAATGAAGAAGTTTCACCTGGAGGTTTCAAATATCCATTCCAGCTCTAGCTTCTAACTCTATATGTAGAGGCAGTTGGACAGTGAACTCTCTTTAACAGGTTTCCAGGACACCAGGAAATGAAATAGACCTTCCAGAAGAATGGTCCAAACTTCTTCCCCAGTCTCAGAAAAGTATGAAAAACTGAACTGTACCTGAGAGTACTGTCCACACAAAAAAATGAGCAGTTGTTTTGAGAAGTATATCATATAAGTCTCAAATACTTTTTGGAATAAAGTCTTGTAGCCTATCACTAACAGTTCAAAGAAACTTACTAGTACTAGGGTTGTAACTATGGTAATCTCCACCCTAAAAAAAAATCTTTGAAAATAGGATTTGTACTCATGAGCATGTGAATTTGCAGGTATTGACTTAATGAAGGCAGAGAAATGCAGATGTTTTCTAAAATCACACTTCAATCTGTGACTCAGGATGACTTGTAAAGTTTTACCCCCAATAAGTATTTGATATGTATTACATGATTTTGTTTTAGGGCCTGGTGGCTCTCAAGGCATGACCAGACACACCATCCTGCATTTCATCCTGTTAAATGCTCTGATTGACAAGGGCCAAGCCTGCTTCTGTGATCAATACCCATGGACTCAATGGTCCAGCTGCTCAAAAACCTGCAATTCCGGAACCCAGAGCAGACAGAGGTGTGTGTGAGCTATTTATAAAAGCTTTTCTTTGTGCCCTGGGAGACCTCAAGGATGAAGGCAGCAATATCAGAAGTGCCACACTAACCAATGGGAAAAACAAACATCTCAAAGTAAGATGTTTGGATGGAATTTGAGGTATTTTCCACATGAGGATAAAAGGAAGTCTTCTTTTGTTCTCTCTATAAAAACAAGGGGTTTCCAAGGAATTGAATTAAGAATCCGTGCAATACTTTCGGCTGACTATTTAACTTACTTAGAATCACTACTTAAGCTTTTTTTCAATCAGCATATAACTCTGCTTTCCTACAGTTAGTGAGTTAATTACAGAGAATTTTCTACTCATTAAACTGAGTCTAACAGGACCTCAATGGAGCAGCACTGCTAGCTATTAGCTTGATTGTTGGCACATACAAAATGGCAACAAAACTGTGTTTACTTGATAGCATTTAATAATTCAGTCTTTTCACCAATTCAGAATATGCATCCCCCATGGTTTCTTTAAGTGTACTAGATATTTCGGTACCATGAAGATGCTCCCATGACTTAGGGGAGAAAAGCATATATTTAGTATATTTTAACTATTACAGCACTTTTTAGAGACTTATTTTAGAAACTATTTTTATATATGCAGTGCGAATCTCATTAAAATCACCATTTGGCTTGCCCAATAAACTATCTACTAAGTATGTGAAACAGATTTGTTTATAGTACTCTTCTACTCAAGAGTCCTCAGTAGCTCTCGGCTGCCTACCAAGTAAAGCAAGATCCCCAGGTGGTCACAGGAGCTCCTCTCTGGAGAATCCCCTGAACATGCTCTCCTCCACCATGAATCTTTGCACGTCATTCCCACCAAATGCCCTTCCCTTTGTTACCTTAAGAATTCACATGAATTTTTCAAGAAGTCTCTCTCATGTCACTTTCTCTTTGAATCTTTGGCCCTATTTCAGTTGTTGTACTTATCACACTGTGTTGTCATATTTTAAGCAATCTGTAGGAACTTTCTTTCCTTTTTTTCTTTCTTTCTTTACCTTCCAGTCCCTTTCAGGAGACCAACTCATCAGGGCCAGCTTCATGGGTTACAAGCTGTGCAGTCACACAGGCCCCCACACTTTGAAGGGCTTCATGCTTGGCTTAATGATCTGCCATTGCCACCTTGAAATTTTTAGTTTTTGAACAGTAAGTCCTCCATTTTTATTTTGCCCTGGACCCCACAAAGTATGTCCTGAATTCCATTAAATGATACGAACTGCATATATGTATGCCAATCTGCTTGGTTTTCCATAAAAACTTTCTTTCTTCTTTATTTACTATAGTTAATGTTCATTGATATTTTTTTTTTATGCGTCTGGAGCCACAGTGAATACATTCATTCCAGGCAGCCTTTTCCTCACTGTTACAGACAAATAGTAGAAGATAAGTACTATCGGGATAACTTTTGTGACCAGATTTGCACCAAGCAGGAGACTAGAGAATGTAACTGGCAAACATGTCCTATCAACTGCCTCCTGGGAGATTATGGACCATGGTCAGACTGTGACCCTTGCCTTGAAAAACAGGTAGGTGAAGCATAGACATTTCCAGGAAATCTGAATCATGATATAGTGCTCTGATTCCCTAAAAGGCTCGGCAACACGGAATTGCTGAATTTCTTCAATTTCTGAAAATAAATTCTCCCAGCTTCCAATGAGGGAAAATTCCATTTAGCAATTTTTTTGAGGCAGGGGGCGGGGGGGAGCATTTATTGTACATGTTTTACTGTCTTAAGAACACCAAAAGGAAATTCTGCCCTCAGTATTTGTGTTGTCCTTAACCAGTTCTGAATTCCACTGCTTGTGCCTTCTGAGAATTATGAAGGCAAAAACAGGTGCAGGTTGAGTATCCCTTATCCAAATGCTTGGGGCCACAAGTATTTGAATTTTAGACTTTCTTGGATTTTTGGAATATTTGCATATACATAATGAGATATCTTGGGAACGGGCCCCAAGTCTAAACATGAAATTCATTTATGTTTCATGTATACCTT